GCAGTGCTCACAGAAGTCAAGTGTGCTGATCTTCTCACCTTCCAAAAGGTTACGATTGCTCAACATCTCCAGTCCACGTGCGCTCATATGACCTAGTCTCATGTGCCATAGTCTTGCCTTGTCATCATTAGATAACTGCACTGTAGATGCATTTGCAGAGCCAACAATGGTGCTTCCGGCCAATGTTTAAAGGCCGTTCTCCAGCTTGCCTTTCAGCATGACTAAAGAACCTTTAGTCACCTTTATAGTTCCTGCTTCACTCATGTACTTGTAGCCTTGTTCATCCAGAGTACTCAGGGAGATAAAATTCTTCTTCAGATCAGGAATATGACGGACTTGTGTAATAGTCCTCACGACTCCATCATGGCAGCAAACCCGAACTAAGCCAATGCCAACTATTGCATAAGTTGCATTATTGCCCATTACGACGGTTCCTCCACTTTTCTCATAGTTGTTAAACCAGTTTTTTTGGAACAGAGTACAAGCAGAGTCTAATACCCATTTATTTCCATAACTACTATTATTATTACACGATGTTGTTAGTACATAATCATTATCAAAATCATGTACCTGTTCAACTATAGATGCACTCGCTTTTTCCTTGGATTTTGACATTGGGCAATCTCGTTCAAAGTGCCCCTTCTTGCCACAACCCCAACACTCTGTATTCTTCTTGTTCACATGAGACTTTGATCTGTGCTTTGATTTACTCTTTCCCTATTGACTAGTCCGGCCTCTCACAAAGAGCCCACTTGCATGGTCATCTCTATCTCCTTCAATGTGCCTTCGCACATCACTAGAGTTAAGTGCCTGCCGCACTTTCTCAAACTTGATAAGCTCCTTTCTATACATCATTGAATTCTCAATATCATGATATCTTGAAGTCAATGAAAATAGCAAAGCACATGCAAGCGTCTCCTCTTCCTTTTTAATTCCTGCAATATGTAAGTCCATGACAAGTTTATTGAACACATTTAAATGATCTTGTAACGAAGTACCTGACCCCATCTTAAATGTGTGAAGACACCGTTGTAACAACATCCTTGTTGTCACTGATCGGTCTTGGTATAGCCCTTCTAGCTTTTCCCATAACTGTTTGGCCATCTCTTCGGTACCCGTACTCATTTCACAAAGCACGTTAGGTGCAAGGGATAGTTGGATTGCACTCAATACATTCCCTTCAATCTTCTCCTTGTCGAGAGCTGATATATCCTTAGGATACTTTCCGTCAATAGCATGGATTGAACCTTCCCTCCGCAGTAACGCCATCATCTGGATCTTCCAGATATTGAAGTTGTTGCGTCCACTGAATCTATCAATTTCAAACTTCATGGAACTCATCTTTGCTTGTTCTTCCTCCTTGGATCGTTAAAGAATCTTGTTGCTCTGATACCAATTGTTAGTGGAAACGTAAAAGAAAGAACACAAGATTTAACGTGGTTCGAATCAAAATAATCCTACATCCACCAAAGAACAGTTGCCGTTTTAATATTAACAAAAGAAGGGGAGATTTCTCAATTAAACTTAAGAGAATTTCTCTCTTAACTCTCTACTCACTATAATGTATTGTATTATTTTTGGGATGGTTTCTACAAATGAAGGAGTGCATCTATTTATAGAGGTAAAGACCTCATCTTGATGTCATTGGTGACATCAAACTACCTCCTCTTAATGTCATGGGTGACATCAAAGGAGGAAGTTTCCTCCTAGCATCCACACTAACTCTTCCAATTGGCATTCCATTGTTGACTAAATAAAAACCAACACTTTCAGTTACAAAGGAAACTCTGGCGAAATTTTCGGAAATTTAAGGAGTTAGACAAATTTGGGGTTGTTGATATATTTCATGATGTGAAAAAGCTGAAGTTACATAAGGATGGCTAATGAATGAACCTTGATCCTCATTCAAGGATGAATGATCTTAAGCGGGGGAGAATGTAAATCCCCAGAAAATTTTGCTAAGTAATTTAAGATTTCGTGGTGCCAAGGTTGGCTAATTATTTTATCTTGCGTGCAAATGAGGATTCATGATATAATGGATATCAATTGGATATGTTAATAAGTGTATAAGTCATATTATAAGTGATTTAGGGTCTAAGGAGAGGCCTAAGTCTAAGCCAAGTTGGAAAATTTCATAATAGACTAAAGTTGTAAATGAGTACGCACAAGACCTCAATTTGGACAAGCATATATCCATTTATATAAGGTGTTGTGCAATGCACAACCTATAAAATTAAATCTCTTTGAGTCTAGTTTCCAACGCATTAAACCGTTTGTCATTTGGAGGTGTATACAGATGGTTATAACCATTTTACTGGACCTGTGTCAGACGCGCGTCCGCGGCGCGGCTGCGGGAAAACTGAAAGTTTCTGCCTCCGAGCATGGTACGAGTACGGCCACCGCGTCCCAGGCGCAGCTTGACCTCACTCGCGCGCCTAGCAGCCCTATAAATACCCCAAGACCGGGTATAGAGAGTCTCTAAGTCATTTTTCTGAGCTAGGGCTTGCTCTATCAAGGGGAATCCGTCCCATACTTTCCTCATATGATCCAAGGTAATGTTTTTGGAGTATTTTGAGTTGATTACTACTCCTAAACACTTATATTAACAAGGATTGATCTTGAAAATCCATAGATTCCCATTCAAATCCCTAAATTGATCAAGAACACTACAAGTAGGGATTCTCAAGATTCTTACTACAAGAGGTATGTCTATCATCTCTAACTACTCTATGGTGATTATTTATGTGTGATATATACGTTAGAACTCATGGGATGGTGATTGGAAGCCATAGGTGCCTAACCTAGGTTGTGTTGGTGTTGTAGAGATTGTGAGATGGGTTATTGAGGTATGATTCTTGGGTGTAATAGTATTATATATACATGCATGTACAAATTAGGTTTGTAGGAAGATTGTTGAACATAAATAAGTAAAGATTGGGTTGGGGAATGCAGTAAATCTTATAAAAGATATTTGAAATCAAGATGCTCAACTAGTATTTGATAAAATGCTCAAATGAGCTGAAACCATGAATACCTTCCTAATTTGGCTCAATTTTGTTATGTCTCAAGTAGATTGGGATTGCTAGAATTTTCGGAACGTCGTAGTAACTTAAGGAAAGCTTAAACAAGGTATGTATGGCTAAAAACCCCTCCTTTTAAAAATCGAGTCTCCATGGTGCCCGTGCAAATGTTGTAAGCCCGGAATTCGATTGATGTGGTACTTGTTATGTCAAATAAATTGATGTTGCGAAAATGTATGTGGAAGATGCTTTTCCATGTGTTTAGTGTGTTATTCTTTGTAAATTGAGGATGAGTGGAAAAACATGAACTATGTGCTAAATGTGTAAATGTCAAGTCAAGGTTACATTGTGATTAATATGCCGAACTAGATGAATTTCTCTCTATGTTTATAACTTAAATTGCTTTTGTATGTGCCTATGATCCTAAATGGAAAGATAAATATTGAAAATGGGAATAATGCGAAATGAGATTTATGGAATGTGGTAATTGTGGCCCCAAGTGCCGAGAAACTAATTTATGTGAATCCAAAGATTAAAGTGAGATGATTAACGGAAAAGGGTAATGTCTTGGTAAGACGGCTTAGCCGATCGGGCCGTGATCGGACGCCATGTTATACACACATGGTGGTAATGTATTGATAATTGAAATTGAAAAGTGAGAATGAAATAAGAGGAACGTCTTGGGAAGACGGCTTAGCCGATCGGGTCGTGATCGGACTCCGCTCAAGGAAGCGATGGTAATGTGGATGATGATGCAATGATAAGGAATGCCCCAACCAAAAAATTCAAAAATTATGTGAAAACTATGTGAACCTCTTATATTATTAATGTGATTCTTATTTGAAGCTTTGTTGTCCTTATGATTTCTTTTACTCTTGTATGGTTGTTTTTTCTAACTGGATGGTGTTTAGTTATACATACTAGTACTATTCCATGGTGCTAACGTCCCTTTTGTCGGGGGCGCTACATTTTTTTAAATGAATGTAGGTGGCTCCATAGCGAATAGTGCCGATCGCGCGTAGCGGAGCATCCTCCTCTCAAAGTCTTGGTGAGCCCATTTCTCCTTCAAGAGGGTTATGTTGTACATCTTTTGCTATAGATATCCACTTTTGAGGTATAGCCGGGCCCTTGTCACCGGCATTGTCATACTTGTCTTTTGCATCCTTAGAGTCTCTGTAGACATATGTGTGGGTTATGTACGGGTGTTGGATGGGTCTACGAACTATGTTGTAATTCTAGCTCTCGCTTATCTAAAGGGTACTTATATGGAATCTTGGAAACTTAACTACGGTTTAAGGTTGTGATATAAAATGAACTAACCGTGTTGAATGTAATATCTTTCCTATTGTCTAAATAAATGAAAGCATGGCTTTCTTATTCATATTGAGATGGGTAGAAAGTGTTTGATAAGGCTTGCTCAGTTGGGTTCACTCGATTGAGCGTCGGTCGCGCCTCCCGAGTTTGGGGCAAGTTGAAGGACAAGAAGATAAAGTCTTGAAATTAAATAAGGCTTTATATGGGTTGAAGCAAGCCCCCGCGAGCTTGGAATAGTAGAATTGACAGTTTCAAGCAAATGATTTTTCTAAGTGTCCACATGAACATGCCCTCTATGTAAAGATTGCTAAAAATGGTGACATCTTACTTGTTTGCTTGTATGTAGATGACTTGATATTTACAGGAAATAATCCAAAGATGTTTGAAGAATTCAATAAAGCAATGGCTAGAGAATTTGAGATGACGGACATTAGCCTAATATCCTACTATCTTGGAATTCAAGTAGCACAGAGGAAGGATGTCATTTTTATTTCTCAAGGAGAGTATGCAAAGGAAATTCTCAAGAAATTTGAGATGGAGAATTGCAATCCCGTAAGCACCCCCGTTGAATGTGGAGTTAAAATATCTAAGCATGGAGATGGAGATAGAGTCAATCCCACATTTTTCAAGAGTCTTATTGGAAGCTTAAGATATTTGTCATGTACAAGGACGGATATTCTGTTTGGAGTTGGACTCCTGAGTCGCTTTATGGAAACTCCTACTACCTCGTACTTAAAGGTAGCCAAAAGAATACTTCGGCACAACAAAGGTACGCTTGATTATGGAATTCTTTATTCATCTTCTAAAGAATCCAAGTTCGTGGGATATTGTTATAGTGACTGGGCTGGTGATATTGATGATCAGAAAAGTACTACTGGGTTTGTTTTCTTTCTTGGAAATTCCACATTTACATGGAATTCTAAGAAGCAACCAATTGTGACTTTGTCAACTTGTGAAGTGGAGCATGTAGCATCTTGTTCGTGTGTTTGCCATGAAATTTGGCTAAGAAGCTTGTTGGAATAACTTCACCAACCACAGAAGGATGCTAAAAGATTTTTGTTGACAACAAATCGGCTATAGATTTAGTCGAGAACCCGGTATTTCATGAAAGAAGAAAAGCATATCGATACGAGATATCATTTTATTAGAGATTGCATATCTAATAAAGTTATGGAGCTTGAGCATGTAAATTCTGGAGATCAAATTGCAGATATTTTCACCAAGCCTTTGAAGATTGACGCTTTTCAAAAGTTAAGAATGGCGCTTGGAGTAATGAAACAAGTTTAAGGGGAGATGTTAAAAATAGTAATAAACTTGTTTCCATTTGTCCACATTTGTTTAGATTTGTTTACATTAATTTAATATTTTCATACATATAGTTAGAAAAGAGTAAGGTGTGGACATGTGTGAATTTGTGTGAACTAGTGTAGGCATGTATGGACTAGTGTGTACATGCGTGGACTAATTAATATGTACACATAAAGTTTATGTTAGATACATGTAGGAGTTCTATTATAAATACCTATGTATGCTAGCCATTTGAAGTAAGTGAAGTTGAATAGAAATCATCCTTTCCTCCACCTCTCTAATAGTGAGTTTTGAGTGTTTATTTAGTTGTCTTGCTCTCCCAAATTTTCTAACATATCATTGGTTGCAGATGATTTTTCTCAAGCTAGCAATACATATGTTGGGAAACTGAGGTAAGTTCTATCAAATCTCCAGTTATATTTCCTTCACTCACTCCTCTCCACCCCTTCAATAATAGTAGGAAGCAAAGAAAAGCTTCTACTCCCTTTCATTTTACTTTAATAATGTTTGAAAACAATTTCACCAAGTCTAACTTTCTTGAAACCAAGTTTACCATATATGATAACCAACCTTAAAGCAAAACCGCCATGGAACATGGTCGAGTTGGTCAAAGCTTTCAAGCAAAGAAAGTTTCTCCAAGAGTACCAGCATGCAACTACAGAGTAGCTACCATTTCCTATGAGCTCAGTGTTAGTTGTCCTAGGAGAATTCGTTGCGCAATGCACTCTATCCCTTTCTCTTCAATCCAGGAGGGAGGCAGTGTTCCAACACCTACATCATTCCCACAATCATTTGATGAGAAGTCATTTTCTGCACCACTCTCAAAAATTAGGGGTGGCAAACAGACAGGTCGGATCGAATACGGATAATAATGCAAAAAACGGATAAATTATCCGATCTGATCCACATTTAATACGGATAACCATATTATCCATGGCCTTCTGAATATGATTACTTTTAGGAGAATTCCTAATCTCTCAAGCTTAAGAAACCCCCAATTTGAGTCTTTACAAATGTAAAAGTTGAACAAATTAGTTATCCATTTTCTAAGTGGATAATATGGTTCTTATCCATATTTGATCCGTTTTAAAAATGTTCAATATCTAACTCATTTTTTTGTGGATAATATGAATGGATAATTTTTTTAATCCATTTTGCCACCACTAATAGTGACCCACAAAGCTGATGTGGGAGACACATCAGATGTCACAGTAGACATGCACAGTCAGCTAAAATGGGAAACACTCCGAAGGAGCAAGCGCATGAAGGCAGCGTGTGAAGATACTAGTTAGTTATAAATAGCTATCAATAAGAATATTAGAGGAGACTATTGTGATATTGGAAACTCTTTTTTTTGATCGTCAAAAGAACTTATACTATTCCTTATCTCATTCTGTAATTCTCTCTTCTTATCTCCTCCTTCCAGTTATTTTCCAATACTGCTCTATTAATATTCTCCTAATTCACTTTACTTGTAATTTTCGGTTGGGTGATTAATACAAACGTTACTTCCATTGAGTTGCTGTAAATCAGGTTGTTTCATTCACCACTTAGCTCAATCATATTAGCTAATGAAATTTGAATATGAAAGAATTTTGAGCAACAAAAATTGAAATTGCTCGTGCCAATAACTTCATCCATAGCGATCAAAACTCGATGTCTATCTATCAAAGTTGAAAACAAATGAGGTGTGGGAATTATGAGAATTAAATATCTAATGCATGTAATATTAAAATGACGTTTATTTAAAAATATAGTCATAGATTTATAACAAATCTATAAAAGAACTAATTCTATATTTATATGTTCGATGGATTTATAATCATAACCAAAAGTAAGATACCATATCATTTGCATTATAATATAGGTAATGATTTCATATTAAAAATAACAATGAAAGTATATTATAGAGAGGAAAAAAGTAATAGAGGGGAGAATGATAATTTACCGGGGGGAAAAGGGCATTACTTGAGATAGAAGGTAAAAATGTCTATAGTTTAAAATTGTAGGAGGAATTATTTTAAGCAAATATCTGTGGTTTCCAATTCTCTCTCTAAAAGAAAATTCTCCTGCTTCTTTCTATAGAACTAACTAAAGAACACCAATCCACTATGCAAGAACAAAACCTCTTATAAGTTATATCTAATCCCACCCAAACTGCCGGATATTGCAACTGAAAAACCTAAACTAGATAGCATCATGTCTGGACCGAGTTTTAAAGAAAAATTAATCGCGGGTGAACATGGTGCATTAATTATGTACTCACTAATTCAAGTGAGCATTACATGTTTCATCTACAAAACGATAGTCCTAACTATCAATTGCCCCCAGTTAATGAGGATCGACAAGTTCAACTATCACAAGATGACCTTCAACGGATCTATCAACCATGGAAGTTCTCTGTTATCATCAAACTTCAAGGAAAGAGAATACAACACCATCTGCTCAAAAAAAGGATCCAAGAACTAATGGAAAATTAAGGAAAATTTTCCATTAATCGATTTAGGTCTGACTACTACATCACCAAGTTCAACAACGAGGAAAGCATATTCAAAGTCCTGCACTATGGCCTTTGGTTTATATTTGGAGACTTCCTCTCAGTTCAAAGATGGGAACCAAATTTTGTTAGCATCTGAAGAAAAAGTTTCACTAGCATCCGTCTGGGTGCGACTACCACAACTACCGACTGAGTTTTACGATAGTTTAATTCTGGAAAAGATAGGAAAGAAGATTGGTAGATTATTGAAAATTGATGCATGTACCTCATCAACTCTAATGGGATGATGTTCAAGATTATGCATATAGTTGCCACTAGATGAGCCAGTTGTTCCCTTCGTCTTCATTGGTCACCATAAACAATTTATATTTTATGAAGGGGAAAACTTTTTGTATAAACAATGTGGATGTAATATGCTAAGGAATTGAAATACAAATTTGGGACTGAAATGGTGATTTTATTGAATTGTCAAATGTTACAAGTGAACCAACGATTGAGAATGTAAATTCACTCTAAGAACAAAAGCTTAATCCAAAAGGCTTCTAATCTCCATTGAAGTCCAAGCTATCACCTGTAGAATCAATGGCGGTTATTAGAGAGAAGGAGAAGAGAATGAGAAGGTTAGAGACAGAGAGAAATGAAGGGAAATAACAGAATTTACCAGATCATAACTGCCCAATTTGTTAGGCCCAGTTTCTGTTATAAACTCCTTCAGTTGGCCCAAGTCCATTAGAAAGCTAATAACAAATCTAGGCCCTTTATTTTACTGAAGTATCTCCGCCGTCCACTATGTCATGTGCTTCTCACGTGATGGCTTTATTTCATTTCTCTAATTCTCTTCTTCATTTCATTTCTAGCCGACATCCAACAATACCCCTCCGATGAAAACAATGACCTTGTCCTCAAGGTCAGAGAATAGCCACAAATTCTGGAAACTTGCTCTTGAGATATCCCCAATATTTCCAAGTTGCATCCTCCGCCTTCAAATTAGCCCATTGAACTAAAACTTTGACACCCACTCCATTATTCACCTTCACCATCTTCCTTTGTAAGATTGTCACTGGTTGGACTAAGATACAACCATCCCCGTCACAGATCGGTGGTTGTTGCTGTGGGATGATGTCAGGACCTACACGCTTCTTCAACTGAGACACATGGAACACATGATGGATTTGAGATCTCGGCGGCAGCTCCAATCGGTAAGCCACTGACCCTATTCTTTGTAGGATCTTGTAAGGACCATAGAACTTAGCACTTAACTTAAGATTCTTTCTTACTGCGACTTAAGCTTGCCTATAAGGTTGAAGCTTTAGGTAAACCCAATCGCCTACCTCTAAAACTCTGTCAGATCTGTTCTTATCGACATAAAACTTCATTCTTGCTTGAGCTTAAGTGAGGTTGTCTTTAAGGATCTGCAACATCTGCTATCTTTGAGTTATCCAAGTACCCGCCGGTGTTTGAGATGGTTGGGGTAGAGACTCCAAGGGGATCTGAGGTGGGGAAAAACCATACAAAGCCTGAAAATGAGTGGTCTTTAAGGAACTGTGATAATTAGTATTGTACTATCATTCCGCTAATGGTAACCATTTCACCCACTGTTTAGGATTAGTAAACATCATAGCTCTAAGATATGCTCCTAAGCATCTATTTAATTTCTCTGTCTGCCCATCTGTTTGAGGATGGTAAGAGGTGGACATGTTCAGCTTGACCCCCATGGACTTGAATAGTCTCTACCAAAATTGGCTAGTGAACACACTGTCTCTATCTGAAATAATTGTCTTAGGTAACCCATGTAGTTTGTAAATGTCCCTCAAAAATAGATCTGCCACATCTTGTGCAGTGAAAGGATATTTGAGAGCTAGGAAATGGCCATACTTGGTAAGCTTTTCCACCACCACTAATATAGCCTTCTTGTGTCCTGAAGAAGGTAACCCTTCCACAAAGTCCATGGCTATGTCCTGCCATGGTAACTCAGGAATTGGTAAAGGTTGTAGCAACCCAGGTGTATGTATATTTTCAGTCTTCACCCTTTGGCAAGTATCACATTCTGAAACTCATTTATAGACATCAGTTCTCATATTAGGCCAATAGAAAATCATCTTCATCCTTTTGTAAGTTCCCTGTTGTCCAGAGTGTCCACCCAAGGAAGATTGGTGCATTGCTTGAAAAATCTTAGTTCTTAGGTTTGTTCCCTTTACAATGTAGATTTTTTGGTCATACCTCAAAATCCCTTGCAGTAAGGTATAATTGGGACTGCTATGGGTATTTGTTATTAGTTCAGTGATCACTTTGTGAGCATCAGAATCATGCTCATAATTGTGCTCTATCTCACTCATCTAAGTAGGCTCAGTAGTAGATAAGGCAAATAATGATGATTCTTCCTCCTGTCTCCTGGATAGTGCATTAGCCACCCTATTTTCAACACCCTTTTTATATTGGATTTCATAATCAAGTCCTAATAATTTGGTCAGACCCTTCTGTTGCAGAGTAGTGGTCACTCTTTACTCTAGTAGGAACTTTAAGCTGTGATGGTTTGTTCTTATTATAAAATGGCCTCATTGGAGATAATGTCTCCATTTATCCACAGCTGATAGTAAAGCCATGAATTCCTTCTCATATGTAGATAATCCCAAGTGTCTAGGAGCTAAAGCTTTGCTGAAAAAAGCAATAGGTCTGCCATTTTGCATTAGGACTGCCCCCATCCCTTTAAAGCAAGCATCAGTCTCAATTATGAAAGGCTTGTTGAAATCTGCCAGTGCTAGCACAGGTGCACTAGACATGGCCTGTTTAAGGTCTTGAAATGAGCTCTCAGCCTCTGAATCCCAGTGAAAACCATTTTTCCTTAACAAATTGGTTAAGGGTCTGCTTATAACCCCATAAGACCTGATGAATTTCCTATAGTATCCTGTCAAGCCCAGAAATCCCTTAAGGGCCTTAATATTTTTAGGAGTAGGCCAGAAAGCCATAGCCTCAATCTTTGAAGGATATGTCGCTAATCCTTCTCCTGTTATTATGTGCCCCAGATATTCTACCTTGGTCTGACCAAAAGGACACTTGGACAATTTAGCAAATAGTTGATCCTTCCTTAATATCTCCAGTACCTTTCTCAAATGTAGAACATGGTCTTCCATAGTAGAGTTGTATACTAGTATATCATCAAAGAACACCAACACAAATTTTCTAAGATAACCCTTAAAAACATGGTTCATAAGTGACTGAAAAGTGGCAGGAGTATTAGTCAGTCCAAAGGGCATTACCCTAAATTCATAATGTCTCAAATGTGTTCTAAAAGTAGTTTTATAAATGTCCTTTTCCCCCATCCTTATCTGATGATACCCGGCCCTTAAGTCTATTTTAGAGTATATGCATGACCCACATAAATTATCCATTAAATCATCAACTAAGGGTATAGGAAACTTGTTTTTTATAGTCATATTGTTTAGAGCTCTTAGTCAATACAAAACCTCCAACTTCCATCTTTTTTCTTGACTAATAACACAGGTGATGAAAATGGGGAATGGCTTGGCTGTATAATACCATTGTTGAGCATTTCACTCACATGTTTCTCTATTTCATTTTTTTGGAAAAACTGTATCTATAGGGTCTAATATTACAGGAATTGCATCTGATTTCAGGGGAATGGAATGACCATGGCCCCTTTTGGGAGGCAATGATGTTGGTTCCATGAATATATCTGGAAACTGCTTCAGCACCTTGTCAATAGCTGCAGGTATGAGACTTGATTCCTTCACTTCTTCTACTGAAATCATGAATAAGTGAGACCATATGGCCTGCCCTTTCTTAAGTAATTGTCTCACTCCATTGGTTGATAAGCTCTTAAGTTTTTTTTGGTTGTAAATCCCTTTAAGTTCTACCCTTTTTCCTTTGTGAGTTACTTGCACCTTGTACTCCACAAAGTCAAGTAGGACTGGATTATGTCTTTTCATCCAATCACCTCCTAATATCATGTCATTGCCACCCAGCTTAGTTATTCTGACTGCATCTTCAAACTGCACTCCTTGTATCTTCCATTTGAATTTGTGACAAATGTGCAAACTCATTAAGTAGTTGCCATTTTCTACTATCACTCTCATAGGCACAGCTTCTAAAATAAGGCAACCTATTTTCTTGGCTGCTTCCATATCCAAAAAACTGTGTGTGCTTCCTGAATCCAGTAAAATAATTAGGGAATTCTTTTTGGCTTCACCTCTCAACTTAATGGTGTTGGGAACTTCAGTGCCAGATAGTGCATTTAGGCTTATTGCCTTATCCACTATCTCCTCCTCTGGTATTATCACTGTTTCTTCTTGATGCAGGGCCACCTCTAATGCCTCTTCAGTAGCAGCTGATATAGCATTAAGTTGTCTAGGTCTACATTGATGCCCAGGATGGTACTTTTCTCCACACTTATAACACAAACCTTGAGTCTTTCTACTCTCAAACAGTTTGTTGTCAGCATAACTGGAACCCCCAAGTGAACTTCTATTAGGTTGAGTATAGTATCATGTAGTTGATCCCTTGTTTCCATGTGATTTACCAGCCTTAGTGACAGCTTCCAATAGGTTCTCCTTATGTCTGGCTTTCTCTACTGTCTTATTGAATGAATAGGGGTCCACCATCTTAACTGTATGCCTAATTTCTTCTTTTAATCCTTCTATGAAAAATTCTAGGAAGAATTCTTCTGGTATAGTAGGATTCCTTATCAACACCCAGGCTTTGAGTTCTTCAAATTTCTCCAAATACTCATCTACAGACCCTGTTTGCTTTATTTTTTTGAATTCCCCAATTAGGTTTAATTTGCTGTTAGATGCACCCTCAAATCTACTGCAGATTTCAGTAGTAAAATCTAACCATCTAACTATTCCTTTACTTATGTGATAGGAAAAGAACCAGAATGCAGTCTTACTATTGAGATGAAGGACTTCCTCTTCAAGCTTTTGCTGTGGATCAGTTATGTGGTTATGCTGGAAAAACCTTTCACACTTCCTCAACCATGCGCAAGGGTCAACTCCATCAAAGTAGGGCATTTCCACTCGCGATTGAGATGAATGACCATTGTTCCTTCCTCCTGATACATCTTTGTTCTCTCCCACCCATGGCTTGGAGATTGGCCCAACATTTGAGAGGTTCTCCATCAGCAGACTGCCCAGAAGGCCATCATGTGGAGGAAGCAGCTTTTCCACTAGCAGTTCTAATTTTTTTCCTAGATTTTCTAATTTTTCATCATTTGTAGTCATATACTATTGGAATTGTGTCTCTAATTTCTTTAGAAACTTGTCTGTAGCTTTATATCTTGTTTCTGCTCCTGTCATGTTGTACTGGCCAGGAAAGAGCTCTGATACCAATTATAATATACTAAGGAATTGAAATACAAATTTGGGACTGAAATGGTGATTTTATTGAATTGTCAAATGTTACAAGTGAATCAACAATTGAGAATATAAATTCACTCTAAGAACAAAAGCTTAATCCAAAAGGCTTCTAATCTCCATTGAAGTCCAAGCTATCACATGTAGAATCAATGGTGGTTGTTAGAGAGAAGGAGAAGATAATGAGAAGGTTAGAGAGAGAGAGAAATGAAGGGAGAAATAACAGAATTTACCAGATCATAACTGCCCAATTCGTTAGGCCCAGTTTCTGTTATAAACTCCTTCAGTTAGCCCAAGTCCATTAGAAAGCTAATAACAAATCTAGGCCTTTTATTTTACTGAAGTATCTCAGTCGTCCACTTTGTCATGTGCTTCTCACGTGATGGCTTTATTTCATTTCTCTAATTCCCTTCTTTATTTCATTTCTAGCTGACATCTAACAGAGGAAGACCGGGCCATGTTCATTTCAAATGTCCATACAAGGTAATAAAAAATAATCCACCACCCACACAAATGGAAACGACTACAAGCCAATCAGTAGAGCAAAACGAGGTTCAAGACATTAAAGAAGATGCACTGCAGACAATTAGCTTCTCAAAAAAAAAACAAATCACAGGATAAAGGAGCCTGTCCAGCAATCAGGTAAGATCCACAATCCTAGTGCTAGTATGCCAGGTAATTCTTCCACCTTGCCTTTTAATATAAAATCTTTTGGCAATAACTCTGGTACTAATGTGACCAACAAGAATTCATCTATCAAGGCCAATAATGGCAAATTTGTGCCCAATGATTACGCTTCCACTAGAAATAAATTCTCTATCTTGAATAATCTGCCGAAAATTAAAAAAAATATTGAAAAGGAAATCCCTAACCCTATGGAGATGATTGATTGCATGCCATTAGACGTGGCCTTGATTAAAGGTGTCAATAAACACGTGGAAGATAACCAAAATGTTCAATTAGCTAACATACAATCTAATAATCAATACTTAGGCGATATTACCAGC